CGTTTCGGAGCACAGGCTCCAGACGCGCAGGCTCAGCGGCCGTGGCTCACGGGCCCAGCCGCTCCGCGGCACGTGGGATCTTCCCGGACCAAGGCACGAACCTGTGTCCCCTGCATCGGCAGGCGGACTCTCAACCACTGCGCCACTAGGGGAGCCCTTACTTCATCCTTCTTTGCCTCAGTATAGAAAACCAGTCTAGTCACCATATTGGTCAGTTTCCCCCAAGGGCAGCTTCACCTGCAGTTGTTATACTTGCCGACATTGGGGGGTCGTGGAGAGCTGGCTGAGGGATATTCATTCACCCATCCATTTGTCTACTCGTGCATTTAGCAAACATTACCCGGAGCCTGTAACATGGCAAGAGCCTTGTAGGAGCCACTAAGGAGTATACGAGTGAGTGAAATGGATCGGGCTGCCCTCCTGGTTCTTATATTCTAGAAAAAAAAAATAGACTATAAATGAATAGCTCTCCAGTGGCACTGTTCATTCATTGGGTAGAGTGTTCGCTGACACTAATGCGTTCTTGGAGACATCAGAAGCACGCTCCAGAGAGACTCTCGATGCTAGATAAGGGCCAAACCCAAACAGAGTTTACCCATTAGATAATTAATCAGATGAAATGCACCGGAAAATGTCAGCAGTTTTCTGTGCCCGAAGCCGTTATCAAGGATTAGATGGAGACTCTTTGGGTGGCAGACCTGGTCTGTTTGGGCGAGTTTGGGGCAAAGTACAGTTAGACTCACGGCCAGACCCATTTGAGGCTTCCTGCTTCTCTGATGTTTGTATTTCCATTTGCCATTTCATGCACCCATGTCTGGAAGTGTACTTTTTAATTGACTTAACTAATCATCCCTGTGCCCAGAGAACCCGAGGTATTGGGGAAGCCAGCTCCGTGCAGCAGCTAGGCTACGTGGAAAGGGTGTTCTTGTGTCTCAGCAGCCTTTCTGTCTCGTTTCCCGTTGGCATCACCCACCGTCACCTCTCGGTTCTCCCAACAGCAGACTAACATATGGGGCACGTGCCTTGTATATGACTGAGCCAAGGGCTACTTCTGTTTCCCTGGAAGAAGGCATTTCCCGGTCCAGGAAGTACCTGAACCTCCAAGTATCTCAAAGTCTGTTACACAATTACCATTTATTAACTCGAATGTGAACACCGCTGGTGCCACTTCGCACTGCAGGGAAGAGCAAGCAGGGCCTGAGCGTATCCCCAAAGGGTGGCCACTGGTAGAGTAGGATGAGCCCACCACCGCCCAGACTGTCTCTGCAGAGCAGTCCTGAGGCCTCTGGTGTTCACGTCTGGGAGAGAGGTCACACGTGCGCCCCCCATTGTAAAAACAAACCCAGTAAGCTCAAATTGGATCTTACAGTAGAGATCGACAGAGGCTCATTATGTCTACCCTGGAGAATCATTGTGAAAGGATTCCACTGGAGAATTCGGGAGGACGGAGTCAGTCCCAGACGTGACCAAAGCCAGGGAAAACCGCTGGAGTGCTGTCCCGTGTCTCTCGCCAGCCCCCAGATCTAAACCCCAGCCAGATACCTCAACTCTGACCCCAAACAGGAGGCCCTTGCGTTTCTTACCGACAGTCAAACCTCCCTAAAGAATTTTATGCAATTTTTAAAAAATCACCATTGTTCCCCTTGGAGAATAGTGTGGTTGGCCATGTTTCCCTTTATGGTGCTCTGTGTACAACACTGCACTCGAACCAAAAGGAAGGAAAAGCCTTTAAGGTTCTCATGGCAGAGTTCAAGCGACCAGGCAGAAATCAAGATGATGGGTTATGGAGTCTGGCTTAGACCTCTGTCTATGCAGCACTGGGAGTGAGATGCATCTGTCTTGTTTTTATTTTTGTTGGAAGGTATCAAAATATATAATGCACATTTTCTTAGCAGTGGACTCCTTACGTAGAGCTTGTTGACAGAGAAAGGTCGGTTAATTCAGTTCTCATGTTACACCCTGTTACTGGTCTCACTGAGAGAGAAGGCCGGGGAGGGGGGGGTGCGAC